AGGAAATTATAAAATCTAAACAAGGTAATTTATTAGGAATTTTATCTATTCTAAGAATAACTTGGCTCTTTACATGCCATTCTTTTTTAGAAGTGAGGGTGGTAAGAGAGACAGCTACAGTTGTAAAGACCACCTCCAAACCTATAAAATTTTACATGAACTCACCTTTTCTCAGAGGCCTCAGAAAGACTGTATCGGGAATAATGTTTTCTTTAAACTCTTGCACTGTTTTCTGGAAGCTTCTTGGAAAACCTCTTAGCTCTTTCCTGGGTAGCACAAAACAAGATTCAATAAAGGCACTTCCCTTACTCCTACTCTGTATTGGTCCCTTACAAAGACTTAGATTAAGTCAAATATTAATGAAAGGTAAATGTAAAGGTAATCTAAAGAGGAAGTGGGTTGAGAGAAAAGCCAAGCAGATGCAAACTCTGTGTCTTGTGCTCTTGTGTTTTCTTTGAGGACCATTCAGACAGTCCCCTTGGTGCAGCCGTGACCTTGGCACACGAGCTGGGCCACAATTTTGGGATGAACCATGACACACTGGAGAGGGGCTGTAGCTGTAAAACGACTGCTGATAAAGGAGGCTGCATCATGAACCCTTCAACTGGGCAAGTACTAATGTTTCTGGCTGCTTTGAGAGTTGTATGCAGCTTGGGTTTGCTGCAAGTAGACTTTGGGAGCAAGAAGTGAGTGCTGACTTTCTTAAGAAGGCTTGCTGGCAAGGGGACAGGCATGGTGTGAGGGGGTATCTGCTAACAAGGTTTTAAAAAGAATGTCATTATGCTTTTTCATGCAATAGCCTTGTAGGCCTCCTGCCAAACGGTTTGTAGGCCATCAAACCGGCCCTAAAACAAAGACTGGACAGAAACACACAGTTCATATGAGGACACTGTCACTTCACGTGAGCCTTCAGTGAGGTGCCGTCTTGCAGCAAGTTACTTCATGTCCTAGATGTCCATCACCACCACTAGTACAAAGCCTTCAGAGACATCTTTTTGATGGTCTTTTTAATTTGCCAGAGAGCACATGTGCTCAGCAGAGAGGGAGATAAAGAAAGAGAGGGAAAGTGAGAAAGCACCTCCCAACAATGGAATATAGTCATGCTATAATCCCTTCTCCTCCATTTCTCCCTCTTTTAGAGATTTTGGGCACAAATGCCCACACGTCTGTCATGTTTTTCAAGCTGCCAGATCCAGGACTCAATCTATGTGATTGACCATGTGGGATCCAGCTGCCTTAACCACCATGCCATGGCTGGTTCTTTCTATAATTTTAATTTGCCAGAGGTCATGTGTGCTCAACAGAGATGGAAAATTAGAGAGAGAGAGAAGAGAGCCCCCACCACTCCCCGTCTCCCGACCTTCAATGGAGTATAGTCATGCAGCAATCCCCTCTCCTCTATTTCTCTATCCTGTCAGTACTCTGGGCAAGCACATGCACCAAACATGTTTCCCAAGCCACTGGGACTAGGACTCATACTCTGCAGGCAGCCTTGTAATATCCAGCTCTCTTAATCACTAGGCTACAATAGAGCTGACCACGGGGACTTCTTTTTTCTCGTGACTCTCTCTCAAATGTAATTTAAAGAAGTCATTAGGACCTTGTTGAAGAGGTTACTCTTCGAGTTTGTGATGACAGAAATCAAGGACCTTCATCTAGAGCAAAAGTATTTTAGGTCAATGCCAACAGGAAGTGAAATATTATGAAGTTCTAAGTGTTAATGAGTGGAGTGTAACAAAAGGGAGACAAATCACCTGAAAAGTAATGTGCTCTTTGCCATTAAAGGTGTCCAAACAGAGGCATAAAAATTGTTTGCTAGATATTTGGGGCAAGGAGTACCTTCTTAGGATGAGAGGCTGGGCCAGGAGCCTGCGGGTGCCTTTTATTTCCAACATTTATAACTCCACATCGCTAAGCAGTACACTGTGTATGATCAACATTTATAAGCCCAAATAGAGCTCCACATCGCTAAGCAGTACACTGTGTATGACTCACAGTGAAGTTGGTAGGGAAGCAAGGTGCAGTTGAGTGGTTTTTGTGTTTTCTCATTGTTGATGAACTCAGAATGGCCACAGAAAATGCACTCTGATTCATTTCCCTGATTATCGAATGGGCACAAATACATCAACCTGTATACTTCTAGATATGGTTCCCAATGACTGAGAAGATCATTTGTTAATCAACATTATTAGTGATTTTTAAATTCTTGATAAAAGAAAAAGATGGAAGAGAAAAAAATCTAGATTGGAAACAGTGACCTAGGATGAAGAAAACTGGTTATCCCAATTCTGACACCAGTTGCTTATAGTCAATATAGGCATTTTAGTAACCCCCCTAGTCTTTATGCTCTTCATCAGTAAAATGAATGTGTCAGTGTTTAGCCATCCATCCTTCATTCAGCCACCATTTTTTTCTTTCTTCCTTCTCTCCTTCCTTCCTTCTTTCCTTCCTTCTATCCATTCACTTGTATGTTCACATATTAAGCATTTTTAACCCCCTGCACTCTTAAGAGAAATATACAAAAGAGGAAGAACTTACAGCTCTAAAAATGATACAATTCTGAAAACACGATAGCAAGGCATATTTTCTAGTACTCTATTTAGTTTTGTGTAAAGCTTTTCAAATTGGAAGGCCTTTATGGCAGTGCTGAAGAATACAAGCCAAGTTACCCTGGAGACATTTAAACAACTTAGGTAGAAATGGTATTGTTAAGAGTTCAGCAAATCATTTAAAAGGCCTTTTTTTTTTTTTTCCTTACCAGGGATTTGCTAATAGCCTTCGTTTGATTTATACCTTATTAGCAATTTCTAAGTTTTCTCTTTTGCTGAGCTTGTGCTTTTGCATAAATCTTTTCTATTTGGTTCTCATTTATGATCCCACATTCCTGTCCAGAGAGTGGTGTTTTTAATTTTCTTAGATGGAAAGCAACTTCCTAAGCAAGTGGGTGAATTAATCATAAAGGCCCAAGTGAGAGGGAGGTCAAGCCACCCAGTCAAATCCTCAGCCATCTATCACCCATTGTGGAATTTCCCAGGCTGCCTTTAATCTCCAGTATTATCTCTAAGTGGTGGTTCTCTTACCTCATAGTGTCCCTGAGAGAGTGGGAGAGTGGATTAAATGAGATCATGTGTCTTTGTAAATTGTAAATCACTTCACAAATATAAGGTAGTGTTATTATTATTTAGCTCACAAGGATTTGGGAACTATCGAAAAGTTAAAGACCTTTTTCAGAATTCCTACTTCCAGTTACTGGAAAGGACTTTTAGTACCATGTAACAGTCACTTGGCAATGCATAGACAGTTTCTGTGTGAATGGCTCATTTTAAACTGGCCCAGGTCCAAACACCAACTTTCCTTCTGATTTCTTCCCTACTACTGATTTAGACATGGGTGGCAAATGTTAAAAATGTTAGTTAATTTAAGTCTTAGCCCCAAAGGTGACTCACAGAGAGATGAATCAGTAACTGCTTTAATGATATTAAAATTTCAGAACCAAAAAAGACCAACTGTTACAGATAATTTAAAGGGGAAAGTATATCCCCGGATATACCTTGTTTATTTTTTATCAAAACATTCCAGAATCCTAACTCTGAAAACAGCCACCTGCCAACATTGACAGATTGGACCCAAGGCCTGCAAATACTAAGATAGAGTCAAGTCCTATTTAAACATGGGCGTTGGGACTTGAGTTGCACATTGCAGGCACAGCTAGCAGGGGCTTCCTTATGGGGTGTATCATTAATTACTTTAAGCCTTTGAGTGTGTGTGAGTGTGTTTTATGTCTTTGCATAGTTAACATTTAAGACCTGTCTTGGAAAATACCCCTTGGCCCAAGCAGTATCTGAGGATTCATGTGGGAGTTAAACTTAGTTGAGTCTATTCATTAATGAACTTCTTGGAGCACTTGGTGTTATAGGGTTGAGGGCTAAGTATGCTGCATTTATAGGAGTAAGAAAAATGTGAATGATTTGAACACTTCTTAGCATATTTAGTATAATAGTATATGTCACTTCCTAGAGTAGGAAAAAAAGGCAGCGTTAACATTCAAAAATTGCTCTCACAGAGTCTTCTGTTTCGGGCATGAAGTTTCTATTAAAATGACTGTTTGACTGACAGGGCCCTCTCATCAAGGGACTGCAGTTGAACTTGCAACACATATTAACTGAGCTCCTGCCATGTGTGATGCACTTTAATAGATATTGGGGATACAACTGTGAACAGGACAGGTGCATTTCTTGCCTTCATAAAACTTGCATTCTACTGGAGGAAATAGACTGAAAACAGCAAATAAAAAAATCTGCAGGTTGGGACCAGCAGTTAGCATAATGGCTATGTCGCTGGACTCCCACGTAGTCGACCGTGGGTCGAGGTCCGGAACCGGTGGCTTGCATGCATGCCCAAGATCCCGAGAGGAGAATGGAGGAGAAGGGATTGCGGTGTGGCCATCCTCCCTGGGGGGTGATTTCTCACTTTCTGTCTCTCTGTCTCTCTGTCTCTCTCTCTCTCTCTCTCTCTGTCTGGTGAGCGCACGCACCCTA